TCCAACTACTTTTGAATTTAAATATGCAAACCTAGCTATCGAGTGCTCTAAGTCGGCACTAAAGTTGAAGATGAATGAATCATCATGGCAGGCTTTGCCTATGAAAGCAGTATGGTTGAGACCAAAGTCACACAAATATTCCTTTTCAATGGTTGTTGCTCTCATGCTCTCTTTACCACGTAGAACACTAAAGTTGGAGACGAATGAATCATCATTACGGATGATCATTTTAGTGGCCGGCTTCGCCTATGCAAGTAATATGGTTGAAACTTAAGTCACACAATCCGTCTCAATGGGTGCCGCTCTCACGTTCCGAGTGCGCTCTTTTTTTCACTTTGTGTGACTTAGATTCTACCGCTTTCGCTCTTTGCTTTCGCTCCCACCCTGTGTAACTTAGGTTAATTAAGGCAACCATAATAAACGCTAGGAATATTTGCATATTGACTGAAGAGATGGGGATGCAGAGTTGGAATGAACGGTAAAACAATGTTTCTTAGGTTGTCAATGCTGATTATACGATTTACCACAAACTTTGCATGAGCATGTTAGCTATGCTGCAGCTGAACAATACCTTTTAAGCTTGTTCACCATACTTCGTAATTATACAACATTGAAAGATTACTAACTCAGTCCAGTAATTCATCTCACCATGCACCATGCTCCTTCAGAATGTATTTGGAATTGCAGTCAGACCTGCCAACGGATGTAACATAGGTGCTACGAATTTGAATATCGGAATGTGTGTGTATATATATATATATATATATATATATGGAAAAAAATACCATAGAGTGGGCCGGGCCAGGACAGGGTCACAGGGGCATCCACTGGCTCGACCGTTGTATATAATAACCTAGAGAACCATTACCTGGCTAAGAAACCCTAGAAGCCATGGGAAACATCCAGCAAAAAGTGAGAGCAAATAAGGATGAAAAGAAGAATGAAAAATTGTTTATGGAGCTTGCCAAGGAGAAAATGTGGGTCAGATGTCCTGGATGTAAATCCTACGTTGACCGTCTTACGCCATTCACCAATGTTACTTGCAGGTTCTCTCTACCTCTCTCTATATATTATATATATACACACACAGACATATAAGTTGTAATTAGGCCAGCATGACACTTGAGGCTAGGAGAAGTGCCATGATTTTATTTCCCCGGGTAGATGTACCTTTTTTTTATATATAAAATAATACAAAATAATACGGAAATTAAAGAGTATTAGAAAGATAAATACTTAAATAATAAATGATCAAAATAAGATTGATAATAGTTTCATTATATACCATCACAACTGTCTTAGACCGATCTTTATATTTTGAATTTACACATACTGAGCTAATAAAATTGCAATACTAAATTTAAATAAGAAGAAAAAAAATGTTACATACATGATATCTTATCTTGTGCTCTCAAGATTATCTCAGGAGATACGTATTGAATTGTAGTCCCTTGTTGGGCAGTGATTTGTTTATCAATGGGAATATATATATATATATAAAAGTATACATAACGTTCCACACCCAAGCCTACCTTGGCTCCGCGCCCTACATGCCGCACACGAAAATAGGATCCTCTCAAGGATTATGGATAATTGTTACAAGTCCCACATGTATGGGATTCGATACGAGTATATATAAGTCGGGTGTTAGTCTCACTTAATAATTTGGTCAGATTGTAAAGCATGACCCATATATATATAAGTATACATCACGTTCCACTCCCTTGCCTACCTTGGCTCCGTGCCTTGCATGCCACACATGAAAATAGGATCCTCTCATGGATTATGGTTGGTTGTTACAAGTTCCACATTAATGGGATTTGAAATAGGTATATGTGGATTGGGTGTTAATCCCACTTAACAGCTTTGATCAAATCGTAAAGCACGGTCCCCTTACGATTGGTTAGAGTAAGACACAGTCCTTAATCTGGTGTCACGTCCCTTATTAATAGCATAAAAGAGTCCCATTTAAGGATCTTGGTGTTGAGACTAGACTCAGTTCTCGATCACAACGAGAATTTTGTAAGTTCGAATGGAAGAAAATGTTAAAAATCCCACATCGAATCCAAATAAGATTTAAAATTGATATACACACACATATATATATATATATATTTGGTTAAAAGGGTAAGCATTAATAAAAGGGTATATATTCATTTGCTTTGTTGTGCTGCATACCTCAAACTATAAAAGAGCAGAGAGAGAACTTAAATTCATGTCCAATAAATGCTGATTATCAATAAGCGCTATTTCACATGATGTGATATTTTCTTCTTTTGTATATATTTTTTTCGCGTAAATTTAATATGTCATAATAGATTTACACAAAAAATTTAAATTATTTATTTTTAGCTCTAGTTGTTTTATACTTTTTGTATAAAAATATATCCCCTTATAACAACCAACGTCATATCTAGACCCCACATAATTTTTACAAACCTATTTAATGAGTTGATTTGTTAATGGAATGAGAAAGAGAGAGGAGAAACGAAATATACTAATGTGGCTATGTAAAAAGATTGTATAAAATACACAATAATTTTATACATTGGTGATGTGGTCGTTTATCTATAAAATAAAAAAAATTAAAAAAATAAAAAAATAAAAAAAAAAAAAAGTATACATCATATGTAAGAGTATATTTTATACAAAAGAGTATTTTAACACACTGCTGGAGATGCTCTAAGCGTGCACGGGCATGTAAATATATTTAAAAGAGGTAAATTTAATTTTTTGTTGGTTCATATAATGATGGATCTTAATATTTGTATTGTTTAATAAATGCAGATGTGGAACGTGTTTTTTTTACTACTGTGAAAGAAAGATTCAAAGGAAGATTCCATTTTTTACTACTGTGAAAGAAATATTCAAAGGAAGATTCCATCTTTCACTCGACTAGGCTTGATTGTGTGTTGCCTTCCCTAGTACAAGTTCGTTCTTTATTTTTGTTTCCAAAATATGAAAGACATTAGACAAATTGGGTGTAAATATCATTGGTATATTAAGCAATTTTTTATTTATTTTTTTTTTTTTAATTGTACAATAAGGTTGCTTTCCATTTGTGAAATTAAATTATAATGATTGTTATTAATTGAATTTAGAAATGATAATGAATATACACATACTGTGTGAGTTGCATCATGCGGAATATATGGGGAAGTTTTCACGCGGTCTAACTGTATAACCTAAAGAAAAACAGAAACTAACAGTTGTGCTTGCACATTTCACTTTTCTTTGTTTTCTCTTCCTCTTCGTACTCGCGCAATACTCTCTCTCTCTCACAGTCACACTTTGCACCTCAGTCACCTAACCTAATCACACAATTACAAAACCTTCACTCACGAAATAATCCATCTCTCACACATTCAGAACCACTCATCTAATCTTTCTGCACCCTCTACCTCATCTTTCGTGCAATCCATTTGTTCTCTCTATAAAAGGAACCCACCCACACACTCATCACCTCAAAAACACACACTTCCTCCATTAATTCTAAGCAAGAATTCTCTTGAGCTTCAATTCAAACCCCCCATTTTACCACCATTAACTTGGTGACATTATTAATAGGCAAGGTGTCCTCCATGATTTCGTGCTCGTGTACATTGCCACAACATCAGGCAGGAACGACTTTAGCAAACACTTGGGTGTCGAATTCGCCTCCCATTCTTATTGTCTAAGGCCACCCTGTTTTGGTGTCCACAACCAAACACGCACAACAGTGGAGACATCAAGTATGCCTCTATCAGAATGTGAACTTTTCCGCAGCAAGGTGTCCTTCCCTCGATAGTGCTGCTGTTTCCTGGAATGGCACACAAGGTCTCCAAGATCACGTCATCCATCCATGATTGGAGGCAAAGAGGTGGCTCACCTATAGAAACGTTTACAAAAATGGCACACCAGCTGCCATGGTCTCCGAGATCACATCAATTGGTGGAACCCTCCACCACAATGCCAAGGAGAGGATAAGCGAGTGCTGTGCAGCTCGGAGCCTGAGCTCGGCTTCCCTTATTATTTGGTCTTTTGGTAGGTATCACCAAAAGGCGAAGAGGAGCCTCCAGCGTTCGCCGAGCAGGTGGCTCACCAATAGAAATATTTACAAAAATTACAAAAATTAGTGTGATGGGAACGACTCCAACTAGTTTTGGATTTATTGAGATGAACGGTAAAACAATGTTTCTTAGGGCATTCTTTCACAACCATCGAACCAAATCTATTCCATTCATATATAGAAATGGGTGGTAACACACACCATTTCAATCAGTCAAAATCCCTAATAAGCTGCTAACTAGTCGTGATAGATTCATGTGAGTATGGTTCACAATAAAAAAACGGGTTCACAATCAAAAACAAGGAAGGGCTAAAGGAGATTTTTCAGAGGTCTAAAATCACAACTCAAAATAAAGCTGATAAAAATAACTAGACTTCTTCGCATTTTCATTTTTTTTCTGTCCTTATTACTTCTCTTTGCTACCATCTTCTCACATCTCTCTCTTCCAAGACACGCCTAAGCGATCTATCATGTTAAACAAACAATGATTGAAGTTATTGTTAGCAAGGTTGAGTTGAGTCTCTGAAGATGAACAAGGCAGAAGAGGGTACTGTTGGTGTTGATAAAACCGGAGAGACAGCTACTAATGAGGTCAAGTCCAATAACACGGCCAGTGTCATCATCACAAGTGACACCATTGCATGAGACACTGTTATCACCAAGGGTTTGAACACATAGTTCAATGTCATCATGAGACACTGTTATGGTCTCGTAAACATAAATCTTGGACAATTACCTCCTTCAACACCATGCCACATTTCACCTCCACAGATCACTTCACAAAATATAAATCTTCAAATATCCTCCAAAACTATTCCAATTTGCAACCATAACAAAAACCCAAAAATAATATATATATATATATATATATAGAAACCAAAACAAATATAAACCAAACCACACATTGTATATATACCAAACACGACATGATTTTATTCAATTCTTTCATTTATTCAATTCTGAAAGGAGAGTTCTTAGAACCCAAAAGCGGTAAGAAACTATAGAACATTTAGAAACTATTTACTTACTAAAGAAACCACATATTTCAATGTCTTGGAACCATAAGAAGCAGAACCACAAGCCAATAACTAAAATGCAGGGATTTCAGAAATCACCACCACGGAGACGAAGGACAAGGTGAAGGTTTGACTCCTTCTGTATGTTGTAATCAGCAAGGGTTCGCCCATCCTCGAGCTGCTTACCAGCAAAGATCAACCTCTGCTGATCGGGAGGAATTCCTTCCTTGTCTTGGATCTTAGCTTTCACGTTGTCGATTGTGTCTGAGCTCTCGACCTCGAGCGTGATGGTCTTGCCAGTTAGGGTTTTGACGAAGATCTGCATCTGCAATTAGAAAAAAGAACAAAAAATATATAACGATTATACAACCTGAACTGTGTAGTTGAGGAATTGCAAACAAAAAACAAGAATTGAACGAATTCTCTACCTTGAGGAGAGGGAGGGGGTTGTTTGCTTTTGAAGAAGACGAAGAGAGAAATTTATTGAATCGAACGAGAGAACAAGCAAAGAATGAAGAGCAATGTATTGGCGATGTGTACTTATAGATGAGAGGGACACATCCGGAAATAAGGAGAAGTTCGCAGTCAAATTAGCTAGAATTATCTGGAAGCTTCTGGACGATTCTCTTGTTTGATTGAGAGCTGACGTGAAACCATTCTCAGTATAAACTTGTTTTATAAAAGGGTTTCCTAATTAAGTAGGATTGCATCCCAAGTTTAATCAGAAAAAAAAATCCTTGCGATTTACTCTCTCATTATATTGGTCCGCGAAGGATAAAAATGTTAAATTCATATTTACTAAATTCTTAATATACATCGACATATTTACTAAATTTTTATTACTATTTAATGAATTGACTTTTAACTCATGAATCCCAATTGGTTAAAATTTGAATATTTTTTTAAAAAATAATTATAAAAAATAAAAATTGTAAAAAAAAAAAAGAAAGAAAGAACCCAAGAAAGTGACCACAAAAAAAATAACTATAGAAAACAGATGCAGATATATATATATTTGCTAACTTTGTACTGATGGCCTTGATTTCCTTAGCGCATATTTGTGTATATATAAGGAGAGAGGTGAAAAAGAGAAAAAAAGGGGAAGAACATGGAATCGTATTAGCAAGGATTAAAAAAAAAAGCTACTTCTTTTTCTTTTTCCTTTTTTTTTTTCAATCCTTCTTTTTAAAATTTAAGTTAGGAAGTAAGATTTAGTTCCAAGAATTAAAGTTATTCAATTCTATCGAATTCTACTCAACTAGAGTTGGAAATTTTCGATTTGGAGAAGTTTTGAGAATCAATTGATATACTAAAAATCCTTTCCATTTGGATAAGTTTTGAGAATCGACTGGTATATAAAGTAGGATTGCATGCCAAGTTTAATCAGAAAAAAATCATTTTGATTTACTCTCTCATTGGATTGGTCCAGTGAGGGATAAAAATGTTAAATTCATACTGACTAAATTTTTAATATATACCAATATATTTATTGAATTTTTATTATTATTTAATGAATTGACTTTCAACTTATGGGTCCCAGTTAGTTAAAATTTAAATATCCTTTAAAAAAATAATAATAAAGAATAAAAATCCTAAAAAATAAATTAAAAAAAAAAACCCAAGAAACCCAAAAGAGAAGAATAAGTATAGAAAAAAGATGTATATATATATATATATATATATACACACACACACATACATACATATATATATTATATATTTCCTAATTTTGTACTGATTGCCTTGATTTCCTTGGCGCATATTTGTGTATATATAAGGAGAGAGGTGGAAAAGGAAAAAATAAAAAATAAAAAAGGGGAAGAACATGGAATCGTATTAGCAAGAATGAAAGTTGTTCAATTCGATGGAATCCTACTAAACTAGAGTTAGAAATTTTCGATTTGGAGGATATACTAACCCAAATAACCCATAATTATATGATTTGTTCTTCCTTATAATTTTATTTGAGTAGTATATTCTGTATACATATTTTATTTTTTGTTGCATTGTTTTAAAGTGAGTTTATTTTGTATTTTAATTTTAATCGAAAGGTAAAGTTAAATTGTATAATAATATACTCTGTATAATATATTATATAAAGTATAATACTTACCAGAGAAAGTAACTGAAGATGATTTTTTTTTTTTTTTTTTCCAATTTAATCCGATTAAATCTGAACCTAAACCTAATTGGATCTTTGAATGATTTTGGAACTATAAATAGAATGATTTCTCTATATATAGGTTTGCCACAAAATTTACAATTATATATAGTAAAAGTAGTTGACATTAGCACTCTATTATTTTATTCTCTAGAAATGAAATGAGGATAATAATAATAATAATACTAATAATAATAATAATAATAATAAGTAGGAGGAGGACTCTTTAAATCTAGAAATTTTGCTCTTGCAATTATTTAAAATTAATTAATGATACTTTTTCTTTTTATTGAAAAGTTGAACTATTTTAGTTAGGCTATCGGAATAAAAAATTACTTGATAAGTATATTGAATCAAATAATTTAAGAGAATTACTTGCTTTACAATATGAGTCTTCCCTCTTAAATTGAATTAAGAGACTTACTTGATTTACTGTATGAGTCTTCCCTCTTAAATTGAATTAAGATACTTACTTGATTTACTATATGAGTCTTCATTCCTTTCTAACTGGTGTATATATTCATAATTTTCATGTACTATTACGGTAAAAGAAAATTAGGCAATAATGCTTTATTTAGGATTATTATTATTATTATTATTATTTTATTTTTTTATTTTTTCTTCGTATCTTCTCAAAAATTGTGATACTTCATTAAAGAGGGAATAGTTAAAAGAAACCCTTATAGCATAAGGAAAAGAAAGGATATTAAATTTGAGGTGAAGCTTCCTCGACAATCAATCACATCCAACTAAATTTATGTAAATATAAGATAATATTATAATGATGATGTCATTCTCCACTCATAAGGCATTCTTTTCGGACCACTGGGAAGCTTTGCTCTTCAACAACCCACCATTCCTGACTCTCACTTGGGAATAGCCACCCCTAATACCGATTGACATTCTTGATGCTCAGATGCTTGAGAAGTGAAGCCCTGAATAGAAAGACAAATCTGCTCCTGTCTTGAGGACTTCAAGGCTTTCAGGCCGAGGCTCGGGCTACCATTATACCTACCAACCTACCATTACCAACCATACATTTGATTTTTAAACTACCTATCATTATTCATAAACTATTACAAACTCAATCAAACTTTCAGTTTCCTAGATGTGGAGTCAAAACATTAGTGATGCATTTCTGGGGAAAATAAAAAATAAAAATAAAAAATAAATAAATAAAATTACTAGCACACTGCTGTTTGATCTTCTCGAGTGGCATGATCCTCTCTGATCCTAAATAGAATCCAATTGGTACCCAAATATGCCCAAGATTTCCGACACCAACCTGTTTTGGGTGCTTTTGTAAACAATGATGATATTTGTAGGCCAGCCCGGCCCAATAATAATCCTTGTTCCCAGGAGATCAAGCCTAATATTTTGGCAGATAAAACTTGGGCCCTATTGAATTCATTATCTCTGGGCCTTATTGAATTAACACAAAAATAATAGCCCAACTGATGCCCGGTCTAGGCCCAAATGGAATGCTCATTTCAGGTGTAGGCCCGCTATACAGAGCCGTGGACCATTTGATGATACCTAGCCTAGGTCAGTACAAAGAACTGGCCCAACCTGTTCACCCATTTTCAAAGTCGTCGTTATGTTGTCCTGCATCCGACGACGGCTAGCATTTTGAGCTTGTGGTGAAAGTCAATTGTATGTTAAGGCGCTATTGCTCCTATTTATATATATATTTTTACCAAGCTCCTATTTTGTATGTGATGGATCGAATCATATATAAGGCCGTTGCGGAGGGAACTATTGATGTTCTGATCACACAATATGCTGATCGACTTGAAGGCCAAGTGACCCCCCAAAAGAACAGTCCTCCACGTCGCGGCTCGGTTCGGCCAAACGGATTATGTGAAAGAGATCTTAAACAAGTGTGGCCGATCACATGAATAACAAAGGTGACAGTTCACTTCAAATTTTGTCCAGGGAAGGACATGCCGATGTAGTACGGGATCTTATTGAGTATGCCAAAAAAGACATGGATATTGAAAGCCGGACTAAAACTATAAAGAAGATGGTGAGAAATGTGGAGGTTGACACGGCCCTTGTGGTTGAGATTTTGATAAGAGAAGACTCTGAGTTTGTACATCCACTCAATAATGTCTAAGGAGAGACCTCTTTTCCTAGGGGGTAGAGAGAGGTAAATCAGAGATTGTGTCCAAATTGTTAGAGAATCGCATATCACCAACTTATGGTGAACCAAATGAAGAACAGCTTTACATGCAGCAACAATTCATCGTCACCTAGATAAAAAAAATCAACTTACGAACATTATGGAGTAAAATCTATCTGTTGGTTTTTAGAATACCACTTGGTTATACATTGTCTAGAAGATGAACACACTTGGAGTTTATTTGAGGGCCAAAAAAAAATATTGTTCCTTGAATAAATTATCTTTTTGTGAGGATTTTTTTTTTTTTTTTTTTTAAAAAAAAAAGTTATTTCTCTTGAATAAATCTCTTTTTAAAAGACCTCAAAAAAAATATTTAAGAAAATGACTCAAAAAATAAGTTATTTTTGTTGAATATTTCTCTTTCGACATGATCCAAACATATATATTAAAAAAATAAAGAAGGTAAAGAAAGTTAATGTTTATAGTATAAAAAGATAATTATAATATTATAAAATAATAGATGATGCATTAATGAGTTTAGGAAATTTTTGTCATTTTATTTTAAAAAATAAAAAAATAAAAAAATAAACAAGTGAAGTGCAATTTGCAAATGTTGAAAAGGGGAATGCAAACAGATGATGATAATAATAATAATAATAATAATAATAATAATAATTTAACTCACAAACACTTTTTATTTGTCGAGTTCTTTAAAATTATTTTAGAAACTAAACCAAAGAGCAAAACTTTAAAACTACTGGAAAGAATGCCAAAGAGAAGCATTACTCAAAGAGAGTGAGGGAGAAGCATAGCTGAAATGACAAATGCATTTAAAATTAGATTATATAAAGTCAAGATAATCAAAGAATTCAGTCCCCTATACTTATGACTTAAACTTTTCAATCACAATTTTTGTAAACTTATGATTTAAAATTACTCTTAGATTGTGTTTGGTTGCATATAATTAGTAGTGTTTTAGAATTAGAATTTGTAAAATTGGAGAAAAGCAACTAACAAAATTGAAGTAAATTTTTTTTTCAATTCTAACTTCAATTTCATGCAGCCGAACACAGTCTTAAAGAGAGATTGGATAATCTCTATTCCAAAAAAAAACTCTATCTTCTGCTTTGAAGCTTTTGCTAAATGAAACCTAATGGAGAATAATTTCAGCTTCAGGTAAAGTTTCACGCTTCTCCAAAATCTTATCA